TCTTCAAACATTCAGATCATTAGTCAGAGGGTTTTGCAATTACAAGAAGATTCTCATTCATTTGTATTTTTTAAAATACAATTTTTGATGATTTCTGTATTTTAATACGCGAAATCTGTCGTACAAATATCTACAAAAGAAACATATAATTGACAGATAATACAGTAATTTTTCCTAGTCGAAAAATAAAAAATAGAAAAAGTCCATTCCATTAACACATTAACAACTCTGTCTGATTTTTTCTCGCGTTATCCATCTAATACTCATACCGAATCGTCAATTTATGTACATAATCTTGTAGGACTAGGAGGAGTAATCCTCGGAAGTGATCTAGTGGTTTTACAAGGAGATGAAAATGGTTTTCTAGGAGATAAATGTACCTCCTCTAGAACAAGGAATTGGAGCTCCGAAGGATAATCTCTCACACATCCTATTCGAGGACCAGCTCCTGTTGTCCATCTGCAAGAAAGTTGATTCCCCAACTGATACGATCTCATTCCTTTATGCGAGTTTATTCTTTTGATAATCTTTTCGTTGGGTATGGATTCTTCATACTCTTCTTCCTTTTCGTCATCATCAAATAAGTTTTGCTTGGAGAAAGTAAATTCTGAATCTGATAAAAATTCCTCTGGTGTTTCGTATCCATCTGAGTCACCATCTAAAGGTTGACTGTTCTCGTAGTTAGGCCCTTGGTGTGGTGTCTTGAACAACTCATAGGTATCTTCCCTCCTGGGAATTTGAAGAATGGCAATTTTTGATTGTAATTTCCGGGACCATCTTGATATGTGTGGATTTACATTTTCAGCATCCTTGGAATATTTTTTGCTTGAATCAGTTCTCTCTCCGTCTTCCTCTTTCGCGTTGCTGCCTTCACTGGCAGCTTGACTGAAATCTGGTGCTGATATGCTACTACGAAGGCCAACGGCACTATCTTCCTTTTCATTATTTGATGCTTTCTGAACACCAGAAGGTAAATGCTTTTTTACCAGTAACTCAACTTTGGATAATTCGCAATCAAGGTGCATCATCTTACCTGGACAACGCTCAGATTGACATTGTGCTGCATAAGAAACGACATGAATTCCTCGAAATTTTCTTTTGTTGGGAGATAGTGCCCACTGTGAGGCCAAACCGCCTATTAGGTTCATACATCATCAGTCTCGAACAATCAATTCAAAAATGTTAGTTCAAAAAAATTGATCGTATCTGTACCTTAAGAACGCCTTCTTCGACTACTAATCTTCCAGCAGACAAAGTGGCACCACCAGCCAAGAAACTTGAATGTTGAAATGTTCCTTTTTTCTTCTGCCCAACATATAAAGTTTTGGACACACTCAGTACAAAGATCCACTTAACGTCTTCCGGTCCTTCACTTGTATTAAGAAGTTTCCCACTCTGTGCATAGATGAACTTGCCGTCCTCTATGACAACTTCATAGATCTTCCTCTCTGTCTGCAGAAACATTTATAAGTAATTTGGTCAATTCACTTAGACATGTCTTCTTCATTGTGAAGAGAAAGTTAAAAAGCAGTTTCTTGTGTTCCTAGACACAAATAAATAAGATTCAAATTCCTACAAAACTGTGACATGAATCTAAGATATTTGAAGGTCACAATCCCAAATTTAAGGCACCAATATGAGGGAAATGAAGCTTACCGGGCCAAGATACTTGATGCATTGATGGTGAAGCTTCGATCGAGGGCATCTTTCGAGATTTACTTCTTTACCTTCTCCAATGTCCAACCTGCAAATCAAAAACTGTATGCTCTAAGTGATCTTTAATAATGAAAAGTTAATATCCTTTCGTAGTTTTCTGGTTCAAATAAATATTACCAGTAAAAGAAAGGCTGTTTACTGTGACATTGGAGCCAATTGACATAATAAAATTGCAGGTTGTGGCCATAGCGGTGTCGAGGATCAATCTACACAAAAATAAGAAGAAAAATGTCAACAAGGGCTCGTAGAATGTATCATTGTTTGAAAAGCTCTAGAAGTTCAACTTACAGCCTCGAGCCAATGCTGCAAAGCTAGTTTACGTGCCTTATCATCCTTGGACAAACCTTTCCCCACCTGTTAATGAAAGACTAAGACTTAATCTTGGGTAATTCAACATAATGCTCTCATAAATATACCACAGTTTCTACCTTAGCAGCTCTGGTTCTTGCTCTTGACCAACGTGAAATAGCTGTTTCGGGTTTCTCAATTGCAAAGAAAGATACAGAACTACGTTTGAGCTCTGCAAAATCTAAGAGCTTCCACCTGAATATCACAGAAAAATATTCAAAATCTATATTAAAGGAAAAGGCAATCAGGCCAGGCTGTTAAACCTTACCATCTCTGCTCGACTAAGACTGCACAATCTGCTAGTTGTCTTCGGATTCTAAAACTCTTATATGTCTTCTGCACCTTTAAGGCAGCCAGATTTCGCTTTCTTCCAAACTCTTTATGAACATTTTCCTCGGACATAGGCCCCTTAAATCTGAGGGAGCCTTCAAGGATCATCTTCTCAGACTTGAATATTGCAGGTTTAGAATCTGGACAGGTAGAACGAGAAATCCTTACATCATCACCTCCAAAACTTGTTGATAAGTAAGACTTGAACTGGCTATCCAAATCATCAAAATTGGCTAACGGACACGAAAATGCCATTCCGATTCTACTCCAAAAATCCAAGGTATCCTATCTCCAATATGCAATATTTTTGTGAATCACAAATGTCATATGCAGAAGTATCAAAAGCATTTAAAGAATGTTAAACTTTATTAGGGAAGAAATGAAAATAAAAACAACATTTGATCAAACAATCAAAAGATTATAATGACAACTATAACTTATACCATCCTTCCTTACAATATATGAATCAAAATGAGGAGAAATTTGTGGATTGAGTTGTCTTCCGTAAATACAGCAGTGAGATTGAAAAGCAATATGAAAAAGAGAGAGCAACAGCAACGTGAGAGAGGCCGTGTAAAGTGGGGTGTTTCAAGGTAAATATTTATTTCTAGGAATAGTTGTTAGTTTAACTGTTTTATTCAACACAACACAAATTTTGTTACTTGTCTGTCCATTAACACGACCCAAGCAAAACAGACTTGGAATAAATAGCAAAAGAGGCAAGGTGGTGGGCATATCAAATAGGAACACCATTTAAGGAACCATATTCACATGAAGAGATCGCCACCAGTAGTGCAAGTATTTCAGCATCCACTGGAGAATAAAACATTCTTATGATGTTTTTTAAACAGTCAAGTCAAATCAACTGCATTGATTCAATGAGTTTTTTATTGCTTACTATATATTGTTGCCTAAAATTCAATGTGCTGGATACAAAATTTGGAAAAGAGGCGATAGAGACGTCAGATTATTGAGTTAGCTAAAGTTTATTTATGTAATGTAATGTAGATTGAGAATAATACTATTCATACCTGAGAGTGATTACAAATTACCTATTGGGGCAAAATAGAGTTGGTTGAGTGCAATATTCTTCAATAAATTTTATCGGGATCGGATTGAATCGGATGTAAAATTTAGTTTCAAACTATCTGGCATGTGCACAGTTGGCAAAGATTATAATTGTTGTCAAACTCTATTTTAATTATTGAATCCATAACTTTTACTTACTTTTTAACCACGTCTTTCTTATAAACAAATTTTATTCGCTGACTTTTATCTTTGTAGTTGATGATATACTTTTGCAAACTTTATTTAATGGCTTTCTTAATACACTAGTGATTTTTAATAGTCATACTTTGGAAAGTTAAAATTGTGAGAAAATGTTACAGGTCGTATCAGTAGCCTAACCGGATGGTAAATATTTCGGCAAAATATGTGGACTACGTCTTTATTGTATTCTTTATATAACATGATATAATTTCTTGTTATAATATTGTAGCTCGTGTAAAATAGATTCTTTTTTATCTTAGATATTTTCAGATTAGTTAAATATGTGAATTTAGTTTAAATTAAATTAATATTGTCTTTCCTTATTTTAATCTATTAACAAATCAAGAAAATCTTTTAGTATATTATATGATATATTAATTCTCTCACCGTGTTTAATGACTACTATGGCCCTGTTTGGGAGGGATTTTGATTTTTCTACAATAAATCAATTCTCATTTTCAACCACACATTTTTCAATAAAATAATATTTTCCATCACATCAATAGTTTTTTCTTCTTTTTCATCCACACATTTCCCATCATATTACAATTCAAAATCAATTCTTCCCCCAAAAATCCCTCCCAAACAAGCTCCTAAAGAGTCCATCTTATAAATAATATATTAGCCCAATAGTCCATACTCTGTTCAAGAAAAAGGCACAATATTATAATACTAGGTGGAGGGATTTTGATTTTTCTACAGTAAATCAATTCTCATTTTCAACCACACATTCTTCAATAAAATAATATTTTCCATCACATCAATAATTTTTTCTTCTTTTTCAACCACACATTTCCCATCATATCACCATTCAAAATCAATTCTTCCCCCAAAAATTCCTCCCAAACAAGCTCTATATATTGACGGGACCTTTACCAAGAATAGGTGCAGTAGCATCATCTCCAAAAATAACCATATCATCGTTCCAATAATCAAAAGTAGAGAACAAGGATTTATTACCACACAAATATCTAGAGCTTGCACTATCAAAAATACTACATAGAATCATTTTTAGCTTTAGGAGCAACATGGGCAACATAGCAGTTCAATTGTTTATCATATCTAGGAATAACACTTTTCTTAACCTCACACCTTCTTAGAAATAGAGGTAATCAACATGGGCAACATAGCAGTTCAATTGTTTATCATATCTAGGAATATCACTTTTCTTAACCCACACCTTCTTAGAAATAGAGGTAATCCTAGTCAGTTGTGTCATCATCTTAATCAAGGGACTAACCTAATTGGTAAGAAAGTTAACCTTGTTAGAGATATCATGACTCCTACAGGATTCACAAATTTGTGAAGCCTAGGCCTTGTGTGTCCTAACACATCACAACTGTGACACGTAGGAATAAACCTAAGTTCAAAACTATGTGGATGATATTGGTTTCTGGGTCTGTTGGTCCTACGACGTAGTGGGCCTCTGTCTTAAGACACCCTTGCCCCTTGGTTCAGGATTTGCAACATTCCTAGGTTTGTTGGTGGCTGGGATAAAAGTGGTCTTGGATGTATTAGCGGTATTATTATCAGTTTGAATATATCATAGACCTCTCTTATTTCTAGTTAGCTTGTTCATCCCTAACAAAATATCAAGTTTCGGAGAACCAATCAAGAAGGAATGGAGTTGAGTATATTTCTCAAAGTCTCTTGTAAAGGTTGTAACCTTAGACTCTAAGTTCTCACTTACAAGTCTTAACTTACTAAGGCTTTTGGTAGATTCTTGATGGTCAGCTATGAGTATCTCTCTCTCTAGCTCAAGTTCATTAACCTTCTTCAATACAACTTTGAGAATATATGGGTCAAAAATCCACTAACACTAACTATCAAGGACCCAAGAATATATGGGTACCAAAAACCAAAAATTGAATTATTTTTGTAGGTACCAATGAAAATAGAGAGCAAATGGACCTTGGATAGTGGATGCTCAAAGCACATGACCGGAATCAAGCTTTATTGTCAAGTTTCAAAATAAACGATGGCGGTCATGATACTTTTGGAGATAATGCGAAACGAAAAATCCTTGACATTGAAATTATTGGTAATCATTCATCTCCCTTTATTGAAAATGTCTTCTTAGTAGATAACCTTAGATGTAGCCTACATAGTTTTAATCACTTGTGTGATGAATGTTATCATATCAAATTTGATTCTTCCAAGTGCATTATTGAGAATACTACATCAAAAGGGATGATGTTTATAGGAAGCCGAAATAAGAATGTTTATGTCATTAACACTAAGTTTGAATGTGGAGAAAAACGTTTATCGAGTTTAAAATATAACACTTGGTTATGAGATAGAAGATTAAGTCATGTTAGCATGGACATACTTTCAAAATTTCCAAAAATTATTTTGTTAAAGGTTTGTTAAGTTTGAAATTTGAAAAAAAACAAAATTTGTAATGCATGAAAAACAAGTAAAGAGTTCTTTCAAATCAAAGTAATATTCTTCAACTACAAAATCTTTTTTACTTCTCCACATGAATATTTTTGAATCATCTAGTATCACAAGTTTAAATGGTAAACATTATGCTTTCGTCATTATTGATGACTTTTCTAGATTCATTTGAGTCCTATTTTTGAACCTAAAAATGAAGTATTGAATGCATTTGAACATTCCTGTAAAAAGGTTCACAATAAAAGAGATACACTACTACTACCATTAGGAGTGATCATGGTGGAGAATTTGATAATATTGCTTTTAATGATTTGTGCAAAACTTATGGTTGTGAACATAATTTCTCGGCTCCTAGAACTCCTCAACAAAAAAGTGTAGTAAAAAGAAAAATCGCACATTGCAAAAGAATTGCTTGGACTATACTAATTAAAACAGTTTACCAAAATACTTTTGGGCCGAAACCGTTAACAGTACTTGCTATATTGTTTATAGAGTTTTAATTAATCGAAAGAAAAGACAAAACCCCTATGAGATTTGGAAAAGTAGAATTTCAAATATCGGCTATTTCAAAGTTGTTGGTTGTAAATGCTTTATTTGGAAAATTTGATTCGAAATTCGATATTGGATTTTTTCTAGGTTACTCATTGACTAGCAAAACTTATAGAGTCTTTAACAAGATAACTCTAGTCGTTGAAAAATCTATGCATGTTACTTTTGATAAAACTAATCCTCTTGATCAAGAGAAAGGTATTGATAATGATATAGGTTTCGAGATTTCTTTTGACCAAATAAAATTCAAAATCAAAATAAGGAAGATCCTAAAGATGTTGAAAATCAACATAAGGAAAAAGCAAAATTTGCAACTAGATGAAGAAGAATCCTCTGAAGTATAAAGTGGCCAATCTCTTCCTAACCAATGAAGTCAAGCAAAGCACATCATGAACATGTTCAATAAGTTTGAAATGGAAGAGTTGAAATCAATGAACACTCCAATATGCTCATCAATAAAAAAAAAATGATTAAGGTACTTTCATAAACATAACAAAATATCGAGGTATGATCAGATCTATTCTTTACTTAATCGCAAGTAAACTCGATATTATGTTTAGTGTGTGATTATGTGCTATATTTCAACACAACTCAAGAATCACACTTTAGTACCATATAACAAATTTTAGATATCTGAATGGAATTAAGACATTACGTCTATGGTATTCTAAAAGCACCCGAAAGTCGGATATTGTATTCAAATTTGTGAATAAGGAAAATCAATTGATCGATATTCTCACTAAACATCTAATACTTGATAAATTTTCATATATTCAAAGACGTTTAGGAATTATTGATGAAGGTAGCTAAATTGAATTCATACTAAATGTTCTCGTATGATTTTATGTGCATAATTGATTGGAACTTATTACCCAAATGATTATGTTTTTGTCATTGCATCGCTCATGCTTTGATTATTATTTTATTATAAATGTGATAATTATCCTCTTATTCAAACTTGTATCTTGTGCTTAATTGACGGGGAATATATTACTATTTTTTATGGTTGATTTAAAGTTTTGATATTATATACAATAATC